CGGTTTCCCCGAACACCTCCCAGATCTGGGGCACTATCTGACGGTTCAACATCCATTCCCCCGACTTTAGTTTCTGCCTCGATAGGAAATCCGCTGCGAGGTTCAGAATCCCTGGGACATGGACCGCTCTCAGAGAAAGGAACCTGCTCTGAGACCATAAGAGAAGATGACGCGCATGCCTGTCCAGTGTGCGAGATCGAGAACCTCCTTGCCGGTTTACATGGGAAACTACCGCCATGTTGTCCGTCCTGACAATGACATGGTGACCCTTTGGAAAAGGGAGAAAATGACGCAAAGCCAGGAAACCGGCTCTCAGCTCCAGGGAGTTTATGTGCCAAGCGAGGGTCTCGCCCGTCCAGACCCCACACGCTGGTCTGCCCTCGAAAACTGCTCCCCAGCCGGTTAGAGAGGCATCCGTCGTAATCATCTGGCGACGGAATACCGTCCCCATGCTGACCGCTTTCTGAAGAAAAAGAGGGTCCCGCCAAATTGACAGGGCGCGAGGGGAACTGCCCGACACCCTCAACAGGCGAAAGGCTGGCCCAGTGGGCCGGATCCCTGAGAGCTTCATCCACCACAGGAAGGGCCTCATGTGGAGCAGACCCAGGGGTAGCACAGGGGAGGCTGCAGCCATTAAGCCCAGAAGCCTGCGGCAATTGCCCACAGAAACACGATTGCCTAGCGAAAAATGGGCCAAACATGTCATCAAACTGCAAATCCGTGCAGGAGCCAAACGGGCCTGCATACAAACTGAATCCATGTGCACCCCCAAGAAAACTGTGTGCTATAAGACTATTTTGTCATGGTCAAGTGTCATTTCAAAAATTAAGGAACGTCTTTAAGATTTATATCTCATATTTTTATTTTGATCTATTGTATCTGAAATGTGATCTGTGCTGCTCTTAAAGTGTAATTGCTCTGAATGCATTATTAGGAGATGGGGGTGGGGGGACTTGGTTGCCTTGGGAATATGGGGGGAGGGGGGGTGAAAAGAGAGAATGTGTTCAAAATGTTGTTTATGTCTACCTTTGTTTCTGTACCAAATATTCTCTGATTCAATAAAAAATTGATCACAAAAAAAAGAAAACTGTGTGCTGAGCTGGAGTAAGAACACTCTTCTCCCCGTTCAACCTCAGACCGAGAGACTGAATATGGCACAAAACAGTGTCCCTGTGGTGGGTAGCCAACTCCCTGGACTGGGCTAGAATGAGCCAGTCATCCAGATAATTGAGAATACGAATGCCCTGGAGCCGCAAGGGGGCCAGTGCTGCATCCACGCATTTCGTGAACGTTCTCGGCGCCAGAGTGAGGCCAAAGGGGAGGACCCTGTACTGGAAAGCCCTTCCTCCAAAGGCGAACCTGAGGAACTTTCTGTGACGCCGCACGACCTGGATGTAAAAATAGGCATCCTTGAGGTCTATTGTCACGAACCAATCTCCTGGCCGAATCTGAGAAATGATGGCTTTCAACGTCAACATCTTGAATTTCCCTCAGAAAAGGGCGAAATTCATTCGGCGGAGGTCCAGAATGGGACGCAGGCCGCCGTCTTTCTTCGGAACCAGGAAATAACGGCTGTAGAAGCCTTGTTCGGTTTCCTCACCAGGAACCTCCTCTATCGCACCTTTGAGAAGGAGGGAAGACATTTCCTGCTGTAGCATAGAAGCCTGAGTGGTTGCGGCAAAACTGGAGAGTGTTGCCGAACCGAACTGTGCGAAGAATCCACGGCGATACCCCTTGTAAGCGCTCCCATTCTGGAAAGAAATGTGAAAGAGGAAGAGGGGTGTTGCAATGCAGATGACATACCTGAGAGAGGATGTCGTGCTGAAGATCGTGGAGTCGCGAGGTTGTCCGTGTAGGAGAGCACTTGGCGTCCTGACACCCGATGGGAGGTGACAATGCTGGGGTTTGGGTGAGCGGGCCTGCCTGCTCCAGAAAAAAAGGAAGAGTGTTTCTGAGGACGTGACCGGCAGTTAAAGAGTGTGTCGGTGGGGAGGGGAGAGAACCAAGGGTGTCTCCTTCCTCTCGCACCGGGCTGAGTAGAAGCGGTAAAATAGGGCCTGCTCTTCGAAACACCCTGGGTGGCGAAGGAGACAGGGTAAGGAAAGGAGAGCTGGTTGGAGGTAGACAGAAACGCTTGCGTGGTCTGTCCCAACCTCGTGCATGTGGAGGAGCTCTCCTTTTCCTAACCAAAGGGTCAGGAGCGGGACGAGGCAGCTGGAGCGGACGGCTTGTCGGATCGCTTCAGCTGCACACGCTTGTGAGGTCGTTGACGGGGAAACGGTCTTTTCTCTCTGAGAAAGACGTTCTCTAGGTCTTCGGGCAAGGGAGGGAGCGGGGGATTCCCTAACTCTCCTGGGCATGAACTGCTTAAAAGCGGCTGATTGAGACTTGGAGGAACGGAATTTCTCGACCACTGTGTTGACCGCCTCTCCGAACAGCCCTGACTGAGAGATAGGGGCATCAAGGAGGAAAACCTTCTATTTATCGCGGATTTCAGTGAGGTTGAGCCATAAGTGGCGTTCCGCAGCAACTGCGCCAGCCATAGAGCGGCCCACCGCACGTGCGGTATGTTTGGTGGCCCTACAAAGCTCTTTCACAACCTCAGGAGTGACACCGCTACCCTCATCCATCCCTTTAAGGATATCGGCCTGGTAGGCCTGAAGGATGGCCATAGTGTGAAGAGTCATGCCTGCTTGACCAGCCGCCATGTAGGATATTCCGATGAGAGAGGAAGAAGTTCTACATGCTTTAGATGGAAGGAGAGGACATGCTTTCCAAGATGGCGCCGACGACGGAGCAAGATGGCTGGCCAAAGTATCCTCAATAGCTGGAATGGCGGAGTAGCCCTGTTCCACAGAACCCACAAGGTTGGTGAAATCAGCAGCTGCCGCATTAGTGAGATGCGCAGAGAAAGGCTGCTTCCAAGATCTGGAAATCTCTCGATGCAAACTCAACATCCTCGAGCTCAACATCCGAACCCCAGGTCGCGGATCCTCGAGAGGCCTCGGGAGCGCGACGGGGGGAGGCGAATTTAGGATCCGTCTCAAAAACCGCGAGCCGAGAGCGGAGAGTTTTTAGAAGTAAATTATCACAGAATTTACATGTAGAAGATCCTAGAACAGCCTCGCACGCATGTGAGAAACCCAAACACCTGATGCACTTACTGCGAGGGTCGTCGCTTGCGATGAAGCGAGCACATGGCGGAGAGCAACGTCGATACTCCATTGCAGCTTCACCGGAAGGAGAACGGAGTTCCACTTATGCAGTCGCTGAAGTGCAAGAAAAATCCATTTATATATCCGTTTATAGGCTTTTATAAAAACCGAGCCGAAGGACAATGTGATCGCTTCGTGAAGGCAGAGAAATCTGAGTGGAAGATGGCGCACGCGCGTATATGATTATGCGACGTGATTGCGTCGGGGAGGGGCCAGACTCCACGAGCGCTATCAGCCAATGAATTGCCATGATTCTATTGGGCTTCAGACAATCGGCACATTCAGAGAATATCCCACTCCCACTGCGTTATCCGCAGCGTTGAGTGAACCTATGAAAGAGAACGACATGAATATTACACAGTGGGCAACTGGATAAAGCACAGCATATTTTGAAATAGAGTATTTAGTAACCAAACTCCATCGCACACCTGCAGGTGATAGGTGCATCGGATAATAAGACCAGACCAGCCAGTCGTTTTAGCAGATAAGGACATCCCGCACACTAACGTTACTTGCAATTTAAAATGAAGTCTATTCACACACAACGTTTCCGTCACATGACCTTCATCAGGAGTAGACAAAATGTTCAAAATTTTAAATGTTTCAATAAGGATAAAAAAATCGCGTCTGCTGTGAAGCTGATCTTGTGTTCGCATTCACTCACTGCGCGCAGACCGTCACTCGCAGTAACACGTTTATGCCAACCACAAATGCACACTTCACAAGAGACCACCGCTGGATTCGATTAAATCTGCAAGGTTTGTGAAATTAAATGTTTATTAGATATTCAGAGATTTGTTTAAATTATGTAGCTGCACATTTGCTGAATGTTGACGGTAAATGAGAAAGTATTTTAGGCTGATTGTTACAAATGATATAAAAGCAAACGCATTACTTTTTCACATAGGTACCATTTACTTTATTTGATTACCAGTTCTGAAGCCCCCAGTTCTGTCAAACAAAGTATTAGATATGACTGACAGAGATCGTAAACTATGAAGACGTAGAATGTGAGTGAGCGCTGATCATCTGGCACTGCGTTCTCTTCATAGACAATAAAAGAAATGGACAGAGTGACCCCATTGATTTCAATGTCTGTCTGATGTCTGAGCGACTGCGCAGGCTCAAACTGAGCGTGACGACAGTCTGACAGTTGTAAATCTTCTAGGAGCTGTGCCAAGCCAAAACGTTGTTGAAATATTTTGTCCGTTGCTTTTAGTTGAGAGTTAAGAGTCTTAGTTAAGAGAATAACAAAGTTTAATATGAAACAACGATGGATTGTTATTATGTTATTATTGTTCTGCCCTTCAGGCATTTAAGTTTAATTTGGTATATGCTTTTATTTGGTATACTTTCAGACTCTTATTTTGACATTTGTTTACTGAGCTAAAAACGAAAGTAGGAAGCCGCATTAAAAAACAGCAGACCAGTTAAAAAATGCAGACGGTCATTGCGCCAGAGAAAATTCATCCTGCCCATTGACTTCCCAGTAGAAGCATCGCTTGTATGTTATAACTGTTTCCTTCACCTCACAAAAGAATTAGTCATAAATCTGTTTTTATAGGGTGGGTTTTTTCACTAGCTATATGTTATTTAAGGTAGACAGGAAAGGCTTTTTATCAATCTATGACATGCAAAACAATAATAAACAAATACTTTTCATTCATTGTATTTTTCTTTTATCTTTTGTAACCCTCTTATGGACACACAAAACTTCTTACAGGTTCTTTTTACTCAATAACCAGTTACATATAAATGAAAGTATTATCTGTTTTTGAATGATGATAATGACTAAGGAGAGATGCCAAAGATAATCACGTTGAAAGTTCATTGATCACTTTCTCAAAGTCAATGTCCAGGAAATCTCAGAACAAAGAATACAAATTCCACATCTTCCCAGTGTCCATCTTATTGTTGATCCAAAATCACATAGATGATGTAAAACAGTTTCATAATCCACAACTGTGCAGGTATAATCCAATTTCAGGATCAACAGGGGTAAGACATATGACTTTCCCAACTCACTTCATGTAGTTTCAAACATACTCAGTCAGGCATAAGCAACAGAAGGACAAAAAACCACCAGAACGTGAAGTCCTTCTACAAAACAAAATCATTAAATTAGGCAAATAAATTCATATACATCCACCAGTCAACATAAGAAAAAGAAACCACTGCTTACTTCCAATTGAGCATAAAACATTTAGTTTCCCAATCAGGACCATTGATCATTTGAATTCATAAGACATGCTTACTCCTCCATTATCCATCTCCTTCTTCTACTCTCTCCACCTACTTTACGTCTGATGGTATTAGCCCTTGGTGCCCCCTGAAGGTGTGTAGTACAATTACAAACAAAAAAACATGTACACAGTTTTGACTGTTACAATGTATATAATCTTTGTTCTGACTTAAGTTATCTTTTAAGCATATTGAATTTGTGCTGTAAAAGTTATGTTCATGAAAGCTAGGTGGCTTAGCTAATTTCAGTATTTTGCTGTTTGTTTTTTAGTTTCACTCTCTCATCATCTCATTTGTATGGATATAGTATAATGTGAAGGAAATAAAACTGCATACGAAGAATTCAGGATTTCTTCATGTTCATGAATAGAGAGAGTTTAGCTCACTGTTTAGTTGGAGTTGGTACACCTCAGCGAGAACAGTACAATTATTGTTATTAATATTGCTGTACTGAAGCAGACCCTGAGGTTTATTGAACCCTGGTTTGAAAACATCTGATTCTGTATTAATTGAACTGTAGAAAAGTATAAATGCATAAAATGATTGGTAGGCCTACTCGGAGCGTTGTATTGTATCTCAATATTGTGAGTGTGGTGAAATGTATGATGAAAATTGGCAAGCAATTTCGCCAAGCAAATACCAAGAAATAGGTTACAGCAGTTTGTCTTTCGATTACACTTTTAAGCATCAGCGACTTTTAATAGTATAAAATCACTGTCCATAAAAAGGAGATGCAGTCTTTCGACAGACTCTCCAATTATTATGGAGACCCCCGGTGTCCAGGCCAGCCCATTTCTCCATTCACTCCCAGGGACGCTGAGTGTCCGTGGGCGGGACATAATCGCAGCATTTATCCAATGACCGTCTAGTTTCGAAGCACTGTTTACACCAGCTCTTTTAAAAGAGATGCTTACCACAACTGTCAGTGTTTTAGCTGTTATATCATGTTTTAGCCTCTAGAGGTCCTCATGGTGCTATCGTGCCCTGCTTATTCAATTTGTAATTAGTGGCATTAGGTTCACATGTGTGTCATTCAGATGTGTGTATTTAAGGCCCTGTTTACACGAGAACGCTCGCGGGTGAAAACGTAAAAATATTTTATCGGATGTGCTTTTCGTTTACACGGCGACAGCGTTTTTGAGGCTTAAAAACGCAAAAAAGTGAAACCAACCTCCAGAGTGGAAATTTTTAAAACGCTCCACCGCCGCGTTCCCGTGTAAACGGTAAAAACGCAAAAGTTTGCATGACAGTGAAAGTTGTACGCAGGCGCGTGGACTTGGTGTTGTTGTAGTATGCACTCCTAGCCGCCTGAAGTGCATACTACATTGAATTTCACACACTTTTGCGTCTCCATTTGCACGCGGATTTCCCACACAAAACGCTCGTCTAAACGCCTCTTTTTATAGCCTCTTTGCTTGGTGTTTAGTTGTGCTAAAGTCGGTAGCCCAAGTAAGTGTCCTCTAATACTGAGACATTTAATTTATCTTGCCTATGGATTGTTCCCTGCTCTGTTTTATTTTTTGTGGACTTTCTCCTATGTAGTTTTTTGCTGAATACCTGTGGGAATATTTTTTGAATATTCTTTGTGAAAAACCCTGTTGGACTGATTTTGTTTTTGAGGATTACTGATTTTTGCTTCAGCTGTGGATTTCTGTTATTTGAATTAAAACTATTTCTGCATCTCATCTACTACGTGAGTGCGTCTTACTGTTAGGTTCACCATCTTCAGTGGCTCAGGGGTTAAGAGTCTGACTACCACGCCAGAGACCCGAGTTTTATTCCCGGCCCTGACAAAAACAATTCCTGAGGAATTGTGAGCACGGACAACGGTCCCTTGCACCATGATCTGGCGCACCACAGAGAGCCGTCATCATAAGATTTCTTTGCTTCCGACCAGGGAAGAAATTTTACACTTGTCACGCGAGATTCCAAGATTTTGATCTTTACAGACTTCTCTGCAGGACTCAAACAAGGTTCAGGATCAGTTTAAATCAGTTAAGGCTAAACTACAGAGAGCTGGTGTCAAATTCAGGATACTGTATCCCTGCAGATTCGCCTTTCATACAGTTTTGACACCCCCCACACCGTTTCTACGTTCCTTACCACCGTGCTTTAACCCAAACACTCAAGCTAGGTATAGCTGCTGTGGTTACAGGTAATGACAGATTATTTTTGGACAATGTTCCACTCGGGGCAGTAGGCCTACGTGGGTGGAGTCATATAGGTAACATCCTTTTTGCATGCCATTAAAAGGTCTACGCTGTATCAGACTTTATTGACTTTTTGCATTATTAACATTTACAGACCATGAAACTTTGACCTTTTATTTTTTACAATTTTATATGCAGTCTGTGAACTGTGGTTTGTTCCCTATTTCTTAATATTTTTACAATTTGTTACAGAGCTCTCTCTGAAAGTTCAGTGGAGATAAAGTTTGTGTTGTGTGTTCGTACATATGTAGTACATGTTTTATGCCTATTTTTTCTTTCCTTTTGCATTTTCTTTGTCCTTTAACTTAATCTCAGAAGAAAGTCACACCATTCATATTTTCAACATTTATCTTTTTGTTGTTGTAACCAATGTCCTTTAACTTACTCAATGCTCAGTCACAAAACACACACAGGAGGCGGAAAAATCCAAGTGCAGTAATTTTAATTAAATAAAAGGTAATCCAAACTTGTAGTAATTCAGGCATTGGATACAATTTCCAAATAGGCAATCCAAGGCACAAGACAAAACAAGAATGGGCAGATACATACTGGAAGTGTGGACATAAAACAACAACTCCATACACATACTAACACAGACAGGGAATAAATACACATATCTAACAAGACTAACACAGAACAGCTGGGAACAATGATTACGGAGAACAGCTGAGTGCAATGAACTGTGAGTGACAGTGATAGACAGAATGCTGGGAATTGAAGTCAATGTCCCCTCTACGGAGCGGCTACCAGGCGCTCCACGACAACAGGATGGAGGTGAAACGGATGGTGGCCAGGTCTGTGAAAGGAGACAGGAACAAGGGGTAAGGGCTTAATCGGGGACCAGAGCAAAACAGAGAGTCCATCGGGCGGCCAGGGCGAAACAGAGACCGGCTCAGGAACAGACGCCGGCTCAGGAACAGCCACAAGAACTGTAACATCCACAAGAACAGACACAAACACAGGAACAAACACGGCTCTGGAGCAGACATTGGCTCCAGCTCTAGAACAGGCACTGGCTCTGCCTCTGGCTCTGGAACAGGCATTGGCTCTGCCTCCGGCTTTGGAACAGGCACTGGCTCTGCCTCCGGCTCTGGAATGGGAACTGGAACGGGCACTGGCTCTGCCTCCGGCTTTGGAACGGGCACTGGCTCTGATTCCGGCTCTCGAACAGCAGGGCAGACGGGACGTGAACAGTCTCTGGACAGATGGAACGGGACGTGAACAGTCTCTGACTGGGCAGACGGGACGTGAACAGTCTCTGACTGGGCAGACGGAACGTGAACAGTCTCTGACTGGGCAGACGGAACGTGAACAGTCTCTGGGCAGACGGAACGGGACGTGAACAGTCTCTGACTGGGCAGACGGGACGTGAATAGTCTCTGACTGGGCAGACGTGATGTGAACAATCTGACTGGGCAGACGGAACGTAAACAGTCTCTGACTGGGCAGACGGAACGTGAACAGTTTCTGACTGGGCAGACACAGGTCTCCTTCTCCTCCTCCGTCCTTTCAGACAAATTTGTACCCCCTCTGAACTGGACGAAACCATCGACGAAGTCCCAGCGCTCCATGAGACCAGTGGTGAAGCCTCAGCTGCCCTGATCTCCTCATGCCTTCATGCACATCTAGAAAAATATTCTAGTGACGAGATGCCATTCTCTCTCTAGGTGGGAGAAAGCTCGCTACGTGGAATCCACATGGTGACTGGGGACGAAATCTTCCAAAAAAATAATAAAATGAAATAAACTAAAATAAAAAAAATAAAAACTCAAATCTACCGCTGGATTTATGAGGATGGAGTCGTTCTGTCACGAAACACACACAGGAGCCGGAAAAATCCAAGTGCAGTAATTTTAATTAAATTAAGGGTAATCCAAACTCGTAGTAATTCAAGCATGGGGTCAAAATCCAAATAGGCAATCCAAGGCACAAGACAAAACAAGAACGGGCAGATACAGACTGGAAGTGTGGACATATAACAACGACACCGTACACATACTAACAGAGACAGGGAATAAACACACATATCTAACAAGACTAACACAAAACAGCTGGGAACAATGATTAGTGAAATGATGAGTGACAGTTACAGACAGAATGCTGGGAATTGAAGTCAATGTGAAGGACACCGTGAGAACGAGGACCTCTAGTGAGTACAACCAGACACTGTGTCACAGTCAGGTGGTTCATGTGTTTGTTTTATCAGTTGGAATGTCAAAGGTTTCAACAATGTGATCAAACATTTACATTTCCTCAGGTACATTTCCTGACACTTTTGTAACTGAATCTAAAGAAAATAACAGTTGCAAATAAGAACTGCACTGGGCTGAGTTTCCTAAAAGCATCTTAAGTTGAATTTAGAACAATGGCCACCAATGGTCTATACGATCAAATAAGGCTTATAATTCTTTTGGGAAACACAGCCAAGATCAGTGTGTGATAGTGAAGTCTGATTGCCAAACTAATGTCATGTGGACTGTTGCTGTATGTCTTTGTAGATTGTCTGGCTGTATGGTGACAGAGGAAGGCTGTGGTCATGTGTCTTCAGCTCTGAGTTCAAACCCCTCACACCTGAGAGAGCTGGATCTGAGCTACAACCACCCAGGAGATTCAGGAGTCAAGCTGCTCACTGATAAACTGAAGGATCCAACCTACAGACTGGAAAAACTCAAGTATGTAGAGCATGAAGAGTTGTTTAAACAATTCCAAAAACAGCATTTCAATATCTTCACTTATTACTCACATTACCACATTTACAAAAGTTATTTTTGAGATTAACTGAGTTTGTACACTACACGCGCTGCCCCGTTCAGGCGCTCTGAGCAGCTTTTCTT